CATTTTTTCATGTAATAAATGCAAAATCATACTATGGGCAAATTAGTGATTCAAACGTGATTCAAAAATATTGCTATACAATTATAATGCAATATGTTTGAATCACTAATGTGCCCATAGTATGATTTGGCATTTCTTACATGAAAACATGATTTCGTTCAAATCGTTTTTTTTTTAATGTTAGCAATATGTGATAAATTTGCTTCGTTTGTAGTAAGAGATATATTTATACATATTTATCCAATTGTTTAACGAGTAACTAAAATTGATTTAAATGAATACCTAATATCAAATTGAGTTAAATACATGGAGGAGTTCAACTTAACTCGACTCTTATAAATGGATTGTAACCAATGGCTATATTTATTATCTATTTTTGTAATAACTGCTAGATGGGGCCCCCAAATATACTTGCACGGCTTCCCTTTGGTGGAAAATCGGTTGAATGATGGTTGAGGCTGCTGACACTCTGATATGACCATCACGTGGGAATCCCTCCAAATGCTATTTCTGTCTTTATATATATATATACATGTATATATATATCCCAGAACTCTGTAAAGAATTTACTGTATAGAGTGTCTATGTACCGTAAATGAGCTGTATTTAGCCCAGAGAGGAATTTTGGCTGCTCATCGAATGATCTACCGATTCATTACAGCCGGTTATGTGATTATAATAAGATTTATTTACCTACAATAGGATCATTTATAAAAGAGGTTCCCAAACTTTTCTGACTCGTAGACCCCTTGCCATTTTTTTCGTCTTTGGGTAGACCCCTGCTTGGCTAATATTAAATTTTTACACATTGATCAACTTAAATGCCTTTTTGACAGCTGGCATAGAGCTACTTACTTTAAAAGAACAAATTTTTAACTGCAGTGAAATATAGTGCTTAAAACTTAAGAAAAACATGTTAGTTAATTTTAGTTTTAAATTTTAAAAAACACATAAAAAAATAATTCAGCAACAAACAAAATTGCTTTTAATAGGAGGGGTGAATCCGGTGCTTCAGTAACAAATTTTCGACCTTTAGTCTCAATCTTGCCGAGTTGAACCTTATTTTTCTTCGGTTAGTAGTGTCCAGTCTTTCGTCTACCATAAACAAAGCATTTTCAAACCTAGATTAAAAATCTGAATAGAGGGCATTTAAATTAATATTGGTTCAAAAAACATTATTCTGGCAGAATGTCTTTGATAAAATGAGAAACTGGGAAAATTTGCGACGTCCAATATTATACTCCTTTAGCTTAATTCTGGCAATAAAACCTGAAATGATGGTCCTTGTTTTAATTAAATATGTACTGTCACCTTGAAACTGTGCAAATTAACCTCATTAAATTTAGCACATTATAAATCTGTTAAATAAATAAAATCTGGTTTCCCCCTTCATTACATTTTCTTTTAAATTTAAAGTCACGGTATGGTTGAATAATAACCTCTATCGCAGACCCCTATTTAAAACTCATGGACCCCTAAAGTATTTTTTGACTGACTTGGACCCCTTACAAGTCGTCATAGACCCCTGGGGGTCTATATAGACCACTTTGGGAGAATCACTGATTTATAACACGCAGGACGAATTCTCAATATCATCTGTAACCTCTGACCTCAGTAATGCTTTTTTCTCCTATTCATTCCCAATACTTAATACAAAGTGCAAATTAATTGGGATTTAATTTTCTTTAAAAAATTTGTTTGCAATTCATCACAATGTGCCTACCTTCAGGAAGTATGACTTTTCGACCTTGACGATACCAGAGTTGTTTTACTAGTTTTACAAAGCTGTTTAACTAGTTAAAGCTGTTTACTAGCTGTAACTTTGTTTGTGAGCCTTTGAGAGTAAAATGTGAATGTTAGTTTTTACGGTTCTTTCAACACGCGTTATGGATTCCTGACTACCGGAGGAACGTAATTTTCAGTGTTTCATCATAGATTTGTGCAGGGTGGGACATACAGCAAACGAAAACACAGTCAGGCTATATATATATATATATATATATAAACACATATATATTAGCTTTCATTTAACAAGAATAGACGCCATCTTACATAATTCGCCTTCTCTATCTTATACGAATCATCTGTCAAACAGGTTCACTTCTGTGCTCTCTATCTCCCAATCTTTTACATTATGAATGGAAGTTCACCAGCGCAACTTAATGATGTGATTATGTCATATGTATATACATATTTACATTCATTATAATTGTTTAATAAGAAATAACCAAAATAAAATTTTTCTTTGTTGACCTAAGTAGGAATTGAATACTTTAAGAATGAAGCTACTGGATATTTATTTATAAATAAAAAATATACAAAAACACACGCACAAAAACATCAAAAGAAAATAAATTATTTATTTGTAATACAAGGGTTATCCACTGAAAATAAGTCTTTTAGGTAACATACAAAATAGGAATTCAATCGAGCACAGGAAGAATATTATAGATAAAAGTAGTATAGCGATTCACTTCAATTGCTCTTTTAACTCTTTTCCAATGAATTCCATCCAATTCCGATCTTAACCAAACTTTCTCCAGATATTTATCTCAAGAGGAAACCAAACTTTACTTTCTATAATCTCGTTGTCCCAATCCCCTTCTATCCTTTGTTACTCTCCTTAAATCCTTTTCGAAATAAAAGTGAAACTGAATCTCGAAAAGAACTCTCAAGAAAGCTTGTTTAGATGTCCGCTTGGAGGAAAGTATTCCTAAATAGTCTTATGAAGAGAAATAGAGCCCATTTTATTATGATAGTATAGTTGGTTTAATTCTATCACCACATCTAATCGTATCTAATTTCTTAAAAAAACCCGTTACCATTAGATAAAAATGTTTGGAATAACCAAGAACCCTACGTGGTATCAGAATAAAAAAAAATAGTCTTCAGCTTACATATTGTAACGGGCTCACGCGTCTTTTCTTTAACATAACCTCTGGGTTCTTTAGTGGCCAAGATTAATGACAACTCTTTTTCAACCAAAACTTAAGAAGCGAAATGTGAACAAGAAATGCAAATAAGATAGCTTTTAAAAGAACAGAAGTTTCAGTAGGTGAAAGGACAACAATTTGGGGAAAGTTATGTTTGAAGAGATACAAGCGTGAATTGACAGCCACTCGTGAAGTTACCTGGAAACCCAGCTATTACTACAAGGTGCATACCATTGCACGCGCGCGCCCAGACATTTCCATATAGATATCGAATCTTAGATTGGATTAAGGTAGGACTGATTATTCGATATTAGGACTTATAATATTATTAGAAGTGATAGTAGGCGGATTGAATAATTATTTAGAGAAAGTGGTCTAAGTTACGCGATTCGGTTTAACTATCTTTGTCTGTGTTTTTTCATTCTAGATTCTCGCTATTTAAATTTATCTAAATTGTTAGACATTTAAGTTCTATTCTTAATAAATTCATATTAAGAATTTAAAATGTTTATTCCTTTTGAAAACCCTACAACTCTAGCTCAAGCTGACAATCAAAGATACGGTCACCAATCAAAGATACCGTCAAACATATTACAATATGTTTTGTTTTTGTTATTAAGTTTGTAACTGGTTCTTATGTGAATTTTACTTGATTCTGTAGCATAAAGTAGTACGTAATATGATCCAAATGTTCGGGGTTAAGGTGTATAAAACCTTACCCTGAATAGTTCAGAACATCGAAGCACATCCACCTTCTAAGTAGCCGCCTTGGG